TTACTTACTCGGTGGTCCCAGGATATACGAGCAATGTTTCGAAGACATCTATGGTCGAATACTAGTAACCTACGAATATCCTCTACTCTTACCGGCCATGTTTCACTGCCATAAAGTAGGACGGAACGAACTGCTGCGCAGTAAACACGTCCTTTGGTTGATAGACGGATATCTCGCCTACGCCACAAATGACGCAAGTTGGCAAAAGCTAGTCGAGCCTTTTGTATCCGTGCTGAGATTTCGTCACACACCAAACCACAAGGGCTGATGAGACTTCCGAGATAAGTGAAGCGGTCGACACGCTCAACTACTTCACTCCCTATCACTAGTTCGGGTGTCGACGCAACCCAATCCTGAAGCAACATTTTGCATTTCGAGGGAGAGAATCGCATGCCGAACATGCTTGCATTGTTGCTTAGAGTGGTCAGTAGACTCTGCATTCTGTCAGCGTCTTCACCAAATAGAACTATGTCATCGGCATATTCTAAGTCAACAAGTGGATCTCCCGGTAGAAGTTCAACTCCTGGAAATTTAGATGAGGAAAGTGTCATCTCTAAAAGGACGTCAACGACAAAGTTAAACAAGAATGGAGAGAGTGGACAGCCCTGACGAACACCACTTGAGGTAATCAATTCTGATGACAGTTCACCATAAGCTCTCACTCGACCAGTTGTGTTCGAGTAGAGAGCCTTTATAAGGTTGACGTACTTCTTTGGTACTCCCTTCAGTGACAAACATTGCCATAGAACCTCACGATCAACAGAGTCAAATGCCGCCTTAAGGTCGAGAAATACTATCATTGTGGGGCGTCTGAATGTGTGTCTATGTTCTAGGACCTGACGCAATGTGAATATTTGATCAATACAACCACGTCCAGGTCGAAAACCAGCCTGGTTTTCTCTAGTCTGTTCTTCACGAGCTTTGGTTAGACGTCGAAGTATTATTGAAGCTAATATTTTAGACACTATATTAGTCAAACTAATTCCTCTGTGATTGTCACAGGAGGACTTTTGTCCTTTCTTATAGACTGGCACAATCAGTGATTGAGACCAGTCAGATAGGATTACGTCCAGTTCCCAGATTCTACCTAAGACCTCAGTCAATCTCGCTGCTAATACTGGACCGCCATCCTTAAAAATCTCAGGGTTAAACCTGTCAGGGCCTGCTGCTCTCCCACGCTTTAGATTACCTATAGCTTTTTCAACTTCGTAAAGAGTCGGAGGACTTACATCAACTTGCCATTCAGGTCGACTGGAGATCGTGGGAAACCGAAGTGTGGCTGAAGGCCAGTTGAACTGATCCCTAAAGTATTCTGCCCATCGATCCAATCTCCTGGATTGAGAATGAATAATATGTCCATCTTTCTCTGCGATTGTTTCGCTAACAGTTGGGTTCCTAATACCGGTTTCCTTAACAAGTCTGAACAGTTGCCTGCTGTTACCTATTGCCGCTGCCTTTTCCATCTCTGTTGCTTTCGCTATCCACCACTGTTCACGATCATTGCGTAGGCTTCTGGTCAGCTTACGCTTAAGCTGACTCCGCTCTTCGTTATGTTTAGAGCCAGATGGAATGAGTTTTCGAGCATCTATCAGTGCGGTAGATGCTGCTGAGATCCAGAGTTTCTCCCTAACCTTATGGTTTACCGTACTTGCAGACATCACTGCTGTTTCTACAGCTTTTCGGATGTCATTCCACGCTGCCTCGGGGTGGGCGTCACTTACATGGCTGTCTAACTGTTTTTCTAGATGTTCCTGAAATATACTCTTAGCTTGACTATCATTAAGTAGGACCCTAAGGGGTTTCCTTGCAGCATGTTTCCTACGTCCAGTAAGACGTAGACAAATACGCGCTCGCACTAGAGCATGACCTAAGTCTAAGCATGTGCTCCAGAATGAGCGACAGTCTTCTATCGAGCCCCTCCATCGGTGGCTGATAGCGATGTGATCTATTTGGGTCCAGCGTTGAGACGAATTAGGGGGTCGCCATGTTAAAAGATGATTTTCCTTATGCTTAAAGTTAGTGTTTGCAAGAAACAGGCGGTTATCTGAGCATAGCTGCAACAGACGGTCGCCGTTATCTGTCCTTTGAGCCGCGACACCATAAGATCCACCCAGGTGTCTTTCCTTTTCGCTTAGTTTACCTACTTGAGCATTAAAGTCACCAGCCACTATTACTACATCTGAACGCCTAGCTTTTCGGAGAAGGTCGGAAAGCTTTCTGTAAAACTCATCTTTTACATCATCTGAGCTGCAGTCAGTGGGAGAGTAGGTAGAGACGACGAAGAGGCAACAACGAGTGTCCCTATCTTTTCGAGTCCTTACTGTTCCGTTTAGTCGGACAGCACACAAACGACTGTCTACTGGGATCCAGTCTAAGAGAGCTAGTTCTGCCCTAGGACTCAATGCTATACCTACGCCAGCGAGGCCACGGGATGCAGCATCAGGGCTTCCAGATACACGAAGCGTAAATCGAGTTGGTTCGTTACTTTGACATGGTGCGGTCAAATGAATGACACTACTAGGATCCTGTGTGCGCGTTTCGGAGACGCAGCACACATCGATGGAGCGAGATTCTAAAGTCTTAGCTAAGGAAGCCTGTTGTCCTATTTGGCACAGTGTCCGGACGTTGAAAGCTCCTACGTGTAGTTTGGAGCGTGGTTTCAGGAGACCAGGAATAACATTCCGCGTACTCGAATCGTTCGCACTAGCGGGGCGAGGTGATAAAGGGACGTGAGAAGGGTTAGTCGAGGAGACAAGAGAGTTACTAGGAGGTGTAGGAAGGATTTGAATGTGACCAACTTGGTCTCGTGTGCTGTTACAGGTATGAGGGCTGATATCACTTCCCGGTTGCCCACACCGTGGAAGGGTATTTCTTGAGGGACCTGAAAAGGAAATCGGATTAGTGTTGGTCTTAGCGACCTGAGTGCGTGACCGCAGAGCCCAAGGGACAACTGCTTGAGGCCGGTCGCGCACGGCCTTTTTGTGGGAGGTTTTTAATGTGTTAGCTCCGTTCTTCAAAGGGCCTTACCGCCGGAGACGGAAATCCGTGGGGTAAGGTGAGGTGTGACATTTTTAGGGTCAACCTTTTATAACCCCTTCCTTCCTTGTGAGAAGGCAGCATCGCTGCAGATGCTGGTTGTCCGAGGGAAACACCTTACTGCTGTCATACCTCTGTACAGTCAGCAGTAAGACTTCGCCCCCAGACCTTGAGTTGCTGCTTTTAGTCTTACCGTTCTCCAATCGACCTGCCTGGCATGGTAGAACCTGCAGGAACTTGTGTTCCAGCCAATATAGCTCGGTTGGGTCATCACGATAGGCAAGCCCGATCACCACGTCAAGGTAGCAGCTACGGTCGGTAGCCGGTGACCAACGATTGGTTCATACGCCACTTGTTCCATCAGGATACTGGAGCCCATGTGCACCATTGGTTTGGGATCCGGTTAAAGCGCCGGACATTCGCTTTCCGTCCTCTCATTTTCGTAAACAACACCCCTGCCACGAGAAGGCAGTGAGTAGGACTTCCCTGGCAGAGGCTATATACGCATGGCCATGTGAGAGCATATCGAGGATAGCGGACTCTCCCCATTCTCGGCCGTACCAGGGCATTTGGGGGTAATTGGTTACTCCAAGCTTTGTTGGTTCATCGAAAGGGTGTTAACGAGTGCTATAAACAGCAGCCACTAAGAAATTGGTTGTAGACTTGTGAATAGCGTCATTGTAAATTAATAGCTTCAAAAAAACCCGTAAAGTTGGAGAATGACAAATTCAATGCCATTAAGTAATACGTATGTCATGATTCAGTCAGTCAGCTGCAACGTAGGACCATGATTATATTATATCCCACCCTTCTACAAGGTAATGAGAAGAGAGTTAGCGGAATTAAGCGCAGTAGTGAAAACAACACTTTAAATCTAGCGTTTCACCGATGATGTGGAGTCGATTTCGTATGATGTCAACATGTTACCCCCTTACTTCATGACTTGCGTCTACGAACAAACGCCCTGTCAATCACATGAACCAACAGGTCCTGCACCAGGACTATATAACCTTTTCCATCGGCGATCGACAACGGCTTCTGTGTTTAGTGAAAAGTAGATCATTCAGCACGTCCCCCCTCCCGATCGAGAGGGAGGTTTCGAAACTTCACCAACAGTACTCTTTAGTAACCAGAATGTCACTTTTTTCCCCGAAATATTCTTCCTAAAAAAGTCCTTTAAAATTTTGCTATTTCCTTTCACCTGAAATAGATTTTAAAGAATAATTCGTTTTAATGCAAAACCAAAGATATGGTCATTTTTATGTAGAACAAATTCGAATCTGAGAGGGTATGGGCGTTAATACCGAGAATTTAATCGATACTTTTCCTATATATCTCTCTCAAAATATCATTCATGGCCCTACAACTATAGTGAAAATTATTAAAACTGAATAATAAAGGTACTTATAACTTATTAAAAGGTTTGTCACAGCTAGAATAACCGTGACATCTTCAGGCTAAGGTATATACTGGTATAGAAACTACCCAACAACCGATTTCGATCGCGGTTAATCTTGGTTAAGCCCTTTTGTTAACTTACTTAACAGAAAATGTTATTTGAACAGTAACAATTCGCATATATCCTTTCACCGTTACCCAATCTCCTTATTTTGACGAAACTTCGGGGTTTTCCCCAAAGTCGTGAAAATTTCGGTAGTTTAAACTACCAAACTTCGGGGGAATTTCACCAAAGTTTGGGGAAGAACACCAAAGTGTTATAAGGTTCTGTGGAAATATTGGAGAAGACCCAAAATTTCCTCAGATATTTTAGGGATTTTCCCTAGACCTGTGCAAAACTATAGCAATCTGATTATAAATTTGCCGATGTAATTGCTCGTATATATATATATATATAGCCGTATATACAGATATAGAATTAATTGGTTTTGGGCTTAAGAGGAGTTGTTTACGCACCATAAAGAGTCATAAACTACATAAAACCGAGAAAAAGTACTGACACCTACTACGCTTTCTAGATATTGAGGGACCGTGTCACCATTGACTAGTTTAAACTGTTCAAGGTCTTTCATACCAGGATTTTATCTTCCCCCATATTCGTAGATATGAAATCGCAACACTTGACGGTACATTATTCTAATTTAGGCGAATACAACGAATTGTGAGTAAATGGAAAGTCATTATACTTGTAGTGTGGTGTTCAGATGTACAAACGTTCTTGGACGAAATTTAATCTTTCGTTTAGCGAGCTTGAGTCCCAATTCAAATTTAAGCTACCAAAAGACAGAGTGCTAAGTTATCTGTGTTAATTCTGTTAATGGAATCTCTTGGTTGACCGAACTTTCTGTAGAATGTGTCGGTAGACGGTTGTTTCACCTGTAAATTATCCTGTTAAAAGGTCGGGAGTCAGCTGACAAATGGTTTGTTCTGGGCATGTGAAAGTTTTTAGTGTGTCCTTGACAGTTTTTTCCATTGTAAGACAAAGAAAATGAGGGTATTTCAGATACAAAATTATTATCATCATGTTTTTCTAGTAACGTCGTTTATGCTGAATGGTCATCAATGCGGTCATAGTACCCGAGTACGACGAAGGGGTGATCCACATCAGTTATTACCATGGGATGTACCTTCGACGATAGCAGGTTAGTCACGACATTTCCTTTTACTCCGATCAGAACCCAATCAGGTTTCACAAGTATGGAGCAAAACTGCTCTCACCGACGCGTTGTAGATCCGACCTTATACAGCCAGACTAACATCACGAAGGTGCCAAAGGTGGCCCAGATTGGCATAAGCCGCTCTGGCTTTCACTATACGTGCATTGATCTCATCACTCACACCACCACCAACATTTATGCAGCTACCTAGATACACGAACTTCTCGACTACTTCTATCTGCTCACCATACAGAGCGAGTACAGGATTAGAATCCTGCCAGTCTTGCAGAAGTACTTTGCTCTTCGAGGGTGCAAAGCAAATACAATACCTACGGACATTGATTACCAACTGATTAAGTGCGGATTGCATAGCTTGGGCATTCTCGCACAGTAAGACAATATCATCCGCATACTCAAGGTCGAGAAGTCTTTCTCCAGGCAACAGATCCACACCACCATTACTTACATCCATCAAAGCTGTTTCCAGAATGTCATCGATGGCAGAGTTGGAGAAGAATGGTGAGATTGAGCAACTTTGCCTAACCCCACTGCTCGAATGGAACAATGGAGAAAAGTGGTTGTATGCCCTCACTCTACCTGAGGTGTTTGTATATAGGGCCTTTAGGATGTTAATAAACTTCTCAGGCACACCCTTCTTCAATAGACAATCCAAGAGAACAGTCCTATCCAACGAATCGAAGGCAGCCCTGATGTCAAGAAACATTACGATTGTTGGCCTTTGATAAGTATGACGGTGTTCTAACATTTGGCGGAGGGTGAAGATATGATCAATACATCCTCGACCGGAACGAAACCCAGCCTGCTCCTCGCGAATCAATCTTTCTCGGGTTTTGAACAACCTACGAAGTATAACGGAAGCCAATAGCTTGGACGCAATCGGAAGTAGACTTATCCCCCCGATAGTTGTTACAGGAACGACGTGAACCCTTTTTAAAGATAGGGACAACTATCGACTCATTCCATGACGTTGGTACACACTCTAGTTCCCAGACCTTTGTAAACAACGTCGTCAGTCCCTTAGTCAGAAAGTCACCACCATCTTTAAAAAGAGCCGGAGGTAAGTCATCTGGGCCCGGTGATTTGTAACGTTTCAAGAGTTGGAGTTCCTTGCGGACTTCCGCCTCATTTGGTGGATCAGTCGTCACCGGCCATGGAGGGCAGGACAGTCTGACCGATGTTGCCGGAGCAGCAGGTCAGTTGAACTGCCCTTCGAAAAGTTCTGCCCATCGTCCAAGATGCCGATGGATGTTAGTTATTGGCGTTCCGTCATCTTCACAGATTGTTTCGCTTACACCAGACTTCTTGCTGCCAGTGGCTCGGATGAGTTTGAAGACCTTCCGGCAATTACCAGATGCAGCTGCTGCTTCCAGCTCATTAGCACGCTCCGATCACCAGGCTTCTCGGTCCTTACGCAAGCTTTGCCCGATTTCATTACGTAACATCCTTCGTCTGTGGTCAAACTCACGGTCACTCGGAGAAGACCGACGGACTTCGATGAGTTGTAAGGAACCAGAAGAAACCCAGTGCTTATAAGCGAGACCTTTCGTGAAGCCGCAAGCGGCTTTACTCGCCATTTTGATGATGTCATAAAGTTGCAACCAATTCTCATCTATACTTTTCGGTGGAATGGTAGCTAGTCTAGAAGCTAGCTCGGTTCGGTACTTACTAGCAACAGAAGTTGCAGCCAGCTTGCTAACATCAATCCTTTGGTGGCGGTCACTTCGTTGTCCACTGAAAAGCAAGGTAAGATTGGCGCAGACCAGAGCATGATCAGATTCCAGATAGGTACTCCAAAAGTAGCGGCAGTCTTGTACACAACCGCGCCAGCGGTAGCTCATCGCGATGTGATCAATCTGAGTCCAGGCTTGAGATGCAGAAGGGGGACGCCAGGTGACACATCGGAGATGACTGTGCCGAAAGTTAGTGCTAACCAGAAACAGGTTGTGGTCTCTGCACAGCTCCAGTAGACGTTCCCCGTTATTTGTCCTGAGACCAACAAGTCCCCATCGGCTTCCCAAACGGTTCTCTTCTGTGCCTAGACGCCCGACCTGAGCATTCAAGTCTCCAGCTAGTACTACAATATCTGTCGAACGCACTTTCTGGAGAAGAACAGTTAGCTGGTGGTAGGACTCGTCCTTGATTGCATCCGGGCTGCAATCTGTCGGGGCATAGGCGGAGATGACGAAAAGACATCGTTTCTCACGCCGATTTCTTCTCACTTTGATGGAACTTTCTAATCTAACAGCACATAACCGACTGTTAATGGGGATCCAGTCGACTAGTGCTGCCTCAGCTCTTGCGCTTAGTGCGACACCAACGCCAGCAAGACCAGGTGAAGATGCCACAGGGTCCCCGGATAAACGCACATAAAACAAGCTTTTTGAAGCGACAGATGGAGAGCGAACTTGTAGTACTTCACCAGAGTCTTGAATACGGGTCTCGGACAGACAACAAACGTCAATATTAAGACTTTCTTAAGACATAGCTAGCCCTATCTGTTGTCCGACCTGCATAAGTGCGCGAACGTCGAAAGCAGCCAGTTTGAATGGTGCACGTGGTTTCAGAAAAACTGCTTCAGTTTTCGTATTTGGTGATAGAATGCAATTTTCAACCAGGCAGTGACTTGAGAACGTTTAGATAGAGCCGATTTTTCACCATAGGCGAGCTGCTGTATAAGTCAAAAAATAAGGATACATAAAGTCGGAATAAAATGGAGTGAATAAATGACGTAGTAAATAATAATAATAATAATAATAATAATAATAATAATAATAATAATAATGCGAACTGTTTGACTCTTAATCGAAGCGTGAATAGAATTTTCAGTAAATAGCATCAGTCGTGGCATGCCACGCTGGTATTCTAGAAAGCTCTATTGGGCTCTGATTGGATGGAAACTCCTCGACTCTTTTGGGGCGTCTGAAAGCCTTGTCGTGCTTCTCGAAGACCGCCCCAGCACCTTACATTGATCGCCAAAGAAGCCTGTAAATATATGAACTTCAATATGTGGTTGGGGTCACCAACACCTAGAGTTGAGTCCCTTGTATTTGATATAAAGGGAAATAAAAAATATTCAGAACGTAGTATGATACAGTGATTTTAATTTTTTGGTAACATGACAAGTTCTTTTTTAAATAGCCTCAACAAAGTTACTTGGTACACTTTATGAGTTAGTCGATTTCAAGACTTTGCTGCTGGGATGAAAAATAAGTGGTGTCTTAAGTAGACTTTTCTGTGTTGTGCTGGCTAATACTGGGTGATAGCGCCAGGATTTGTGTTGGGTCCGAGTCTTAATATGTGTTTTATTGTATGGCCGAAAGTGTTTGGAGTGAGGAAAGTCAATAAACGGTTGTATCCGAGCTACTTATACTACTTAGATTTGAGAATTCTGGCTGATTTCATTGCTCACCTTCCAGTGCACTCTCGAGAATACTTAATCTTCCAAAGTGATCAAAGAGACACCGTATTTCTACACATGCTGCGAAAAAAACAGCAGTTTAGTGTCGTTGAAAACCGATCTTGATTGCTGTTTGAATTCTTATGACTTGTTCTCATACACGTTTAAGTTGAAAGCAGATGCAAACAATCTACCATATGCGCGTGATTAGATTTTCAATATCAGTATCATTCTGGTGAACCACCATTACAACCACAGTAAATTTTAATTGATTCATTATTTCGCACTTCAGTCTATCATAACTCCAATGTACGATTCTATGTACTGACCTCATATCAGCCGATGATGAGTTGCCTCTTGGTTGTTTCACTGATATATATATCTGTGGTGCGTAGAAACAATTAAAAAATATTTCATTTGACATAAAACCACCAATCATTAACTGCTATTTTTTCACTAATCTGGTGCATGCAGTTCTATAGATGCAGTGTAGTTTGTGTTAGTGTGCAACATTTCTAATCTGATTGTTTGCTCAAGCCAAGTATCGTAACCCAACTATTTACAAGTCGTAATACAAAGGGATGGAAGTCAGTCATATGGTGTACGGATACGTTGGAAAAATTGAATTTTTTGGTGACATCAGAAATATTTGGATGAAATTGTACTAATAGCAAATATTGTGTGTAAATAACTAGTAAAAGAACGTTAATTAATTGTTCAAATTATTTCATATTTTTCGCAAGTCACAGGTGGAGGTGGAAGACCTTCGCTGTGTCCTAGATTGTATCTCAAAAATTGTTTTCGTTCGAGGTGATATGATCGACTCTTATAAAAACTTTCTGAAGGCCATTGATGACGAAGAAACGTTTAAAAAAACAAAATGAAGCATATAATGTTCAAAACACTTGGTGAAAATTTCTGCATTGTCTTATATCAGACTGTCGTGATTGATGGAATTGAAAGAGGACGCATGATAATGTTCATAACAGTGCACAGTGAACTACAGAATGACATTAACCATATTCTACGGTTTCTCTAATCGATTCGGAATGATACTTTCAGAACATTAATTTAGGGGATTGGCTTCGCACCGCGACAAATTTTTGATATAACTGAAGTGTCCCCGTCTGTTTCAATCGTTTTTGCGAATTAGTTTTTCTCCTTCTAATGATTGGTCGCTATAAGTTCTTTTTTGGTCCTTCTAATTTGTTATCGATGACTGTACCTTATTGAAAACGAAGTATCCACGTATTCTCTGCTTCCTTTGCAATTATATTTATAGGTTCAGTACCCCTAATGTACATTGTTTTGTAGAGTTTTCGGTGCTACTATGACGAATTAAAAGTCGTAAACAAATTTTCCGAAATATTCAATTTGGTTGTGTCACCATTTTCTGCTGTTCCGTTCTATTTTTTTTCTACAGCAATTTCTGGATCTGACACATATTATGTAGATCTTTTAGTTAAGTTGAATTTATCATTGTATCGTTTACAATTTTTAAATTATATTATCTGTGAATGACGGGGTTCTTGACAGCCGTTTCGTTTTCGTATCACTTGATGTTATAACTTTGGTGGTTTTCATATTAGCTTACCATATTGTTTGTTGATTTTGTAAGGTTTGACTGGATTAATATGTAGTTGGTGAACGGTAGATTTGTTTCTTGCTGTTTATGAAAAAATCCCTCAACTAAACGTAAAATTACAAGAATCAGTCAAATAAAGCAGTTAGACTACCCACATTGGACGGCCACCAGAACACAAATCTGTGCAAAAATCAACAATCGGGTAAGATGCAACTGATTTAATTTCTCAAGCTCCTAACAAAAACACTGTATGTTAGAGTCTTTAACCTTTTGACAATGAAGGTCTTATATCGCGCTGAGATTTAGCGGCAAAACAACTCAAAATTATCCGGAGGTTGGTAAAATTGTAGCTTTTAAAAGCAGAGTGTGATATATATCTTGACGAAATATCTTTCGATCAGTTCTTAACTCTTCACTTGAAGTGTGCGTAATTTTATTTAAACATAAGGAATCTGTGAATCATCTTTATCTATATAAATATATATTGATACAGATACACGGTGCATATTTTTCATCCACATCTTAATTGCTGTATACTCTTGGAATTTTAAGCTTGTTCAAAATAAGAAATTTGGGCTTACGAAATCATCAGTGGGATTTTATTTTAAATTAATGAAACCGATTGGTAGAACAGTGGATAAACTTTAATAAACAGATAATTAATAAAGCTTCTATTATCAATAAATATCCTAAATCCTAAATTTATATTCTTCAACATTTTACTTCTGATACCAAACTGTCGGGGATCTCCCTAATGGTTTGAACCTCTTGCAAACACCAATATTTTTACATATATGTAAACATAATGGTGATTTAACGTGCTGAAATAGATTTAGTATAAATATTTAGATGCCCACTAGTCAGTTATCCATCACACATCGTTATCATCTAACACTTGGATCCCGTTTTTCCAAATTTTAAGTTTCCCCATGTGATTACTTATCAATGTTTACCTCGAAGTTGTGTTCTTTTGGATCAATTTTAAATCGTCGTTGTACACATATGTGTTAGGGTCCTTACCAATGGCATACTAAATTTTATAAGACCCGTGTACTGTACTACTCATGTTTCCAGCTGCTGTCATAAGATTTAGGATAACAACAATCCAGTTCTCTTTCACACACAACCTATACTAACAATTTAGTTTTTCAAAGTCCTGTCCTCAGTTTCCTATAACTACAATTCAAACTGCGTGTTGAGATTTTTCATGCCCGGGTTTTGTGTCACAGTGTTTCACACCAATAACATTATGTGGATATCTAAAACCTACCTACCGGATGAAAGTCTGAATACTCAGTTGATCTCAATTAGATTTTTTTAGAAGATCAACAAGATTCAGTCTCTGTATACCCATAAACCCGTTAGTATATTTTGACGATGTTTTCGAAATGGATAATTTTGAAATTGCGACAGTTACCACCTGACTAGATGCTAGCTGACAGTTGCTTGTACACCGTCATTTCAAGTGGTATAGTAGGGACTTTAAAACAGAGATATACGGCGTTGCTTATTCGTTCTTTCCGCCTACATCTCCGCTGATCAAGCTAGAGATGAGTGCTTTTAGTGCTCAAGTGATCAGGGTTGTATAAACTGAATACACTTTGAATGTGATCAACATTTATTCAAATTTACAATCCTACTTAACGACATGATAGATTGATATAGGCTGTTGGGTAGACTAATATAAAGTGAAAAAATTGTGTGACCACTGCATGTGGAATCGCAACTCCGTCGGTTATATTGTACACACTTATACATAGTCATTCGTGATTTTTACTCACGTGTGTTTGTTCATATTATTCTTCGTTTATTTGAACTATATGTGTAAGCTAAGTCAATCATTAATTTTTACTCAACTTCGCTTCACTTCACCCTAAACTTGTACCGTACATGCTTAATCTATTGAGCCCATCCGAAACATATTCTTCTTCACCTAACTTTGCGTGATCTTTTGTCTCTCGATTCCTCTAAATAATCTAGTAATACAACAAAATTAGGTCGAAATGGATGCAAGAAGCCAAGGGGTATCAATCACAACAAAGTCGGAGTATATTATAACGTTTTCATGGGACAGAATCGCAAGGCATTAGAACTTAATAAAATTATTAAAATCTACAGACTGAGCCAAGACATTATAGCGATAGATACCGACAGATTTTACCATCACTCATGATTCGTGAGATTCGATAGATTTCCATTCCTTCTAGAGGAAATACTTGGACACTGGTGCATGAAAACTCTTCTCAGTACCTTACTGGACGCAGTGAAGTTCAACATAATGACTGATTTGAGTTCATTTCCAAGAGTATGTTCAGGATAGAACTAGCTAGGCACTTAGCTGACCACATAGATGTTTACTCTAAAGTGATTTGGTTGGGCTTTTGATCTATTGTAAAACCGTTTGTAGCGTCTTTTAGTTACCTGAACTAAAAGGTTAGAAAAAATCGGTGAATTTATAAAGGCTTAAGTTCAAACTAATTATACGTCTACCACAAGATTGCGAGCAATAGCAGATAACAAAAGCGAAGTAGATGGAAAAGGGACTGGTGATAAGTAGAACAGATTAACCATTTAAATGGATCAGAGGAATGGGTTAATTAGCCAGATTTCGGTGATACTTCTTTAGAATATTGGAATCTTGATTCCCCTTGTAGATCAAAAGGCTAAGTCTCAGAGTAGAACATTTTAAGAAACGATTCAGTCGAAATATAGCTACTATTTAGTTGTCTACTTCTTACTAACAACGTAAATGAGAGATCGACATGGTATACCCAACCATTAATGTAGATGACAAAGGGTGGCGCGCATACTTATTGACCCTCGGAAATTTGAAGGCAGTTTAAAGATAACACTTCATTCATCTAATTTTTCGAGATTGCCCTTTTATCACGAGGACTGGATAATATACAGAGTATTCCAATCCCCTTGTGGAACAATGCAAATATGTTTAAGACGCGTTTCTGTCCTTCGAAATGCAACTTATTGCCTAAGACTGGTTTGCCTCAACGACGCAGGCGCATTCACTTTTTATTTTCATTCAATTCATAAATCTCAAAATCCCCTTACTCCTCTTTATTTCTCTTCTTTCTACATATAACTTTCTCTGTCCCTATTGACACTATTACCACTTCTATTAATATTGCATTTTTCAGGATAATTCCATTTTGTCATAACCATGTGGTGTGAAAACTTGTACTAGTGTACGTTTGTGTGAGATTGTACTTTACATATAACTGACTGACTGTATCACACGTAGTCTGACCACAGGGAGTGGAATAGCTGAATGAGTCAACTATCCCACTTTCTTTGGAAGTCCAACCGGTTCTGTCAGGTTCACATTTGACGAAACGTCGGCAAACCTTAAAAAATCAACTTTTGATGCGAGATGTGGTGACTTAGAGTCATTCATGCTATGCTCATGTTCAACACTCATTGGTTGACTGAAAATATTGTATACTCGGTCTTTAGAACTTTGTATTCCATTTGAACAGATTCTTTGTTTCTTTTGTTAACATCTGCCCATTTTATATATCTTTCATGCATATATTTCTCCTTAACAAACTTTGCCCATTCAGGAGTACAACTGTGGTGTATGCTACTTAAGTCGACAGATATTAGTAGTATGTATCACCAATCAAAAGTGGAATGCCTGGCGGCAGAAGGTTGAGAAAATCGAAGAGAAAAAACGAGAACAGAGAGTGATTGATGTAAAATTGAAGAAACAATGAAGTCTGAGACGATTGATGGATATTTTGCAAATGATGTATTTATTGTATGGATCTCAGATTTTACCAAGATATTCTGTAATGTATGCGAATATATTAGGTTGTCTCCACTAGTGTTCTCATTCGCTATACAATGAATTTAGGGGTGAAAACCGACTATCCAATGGATCATTTTGCAGTGATAAAACCAGATAATCCTACTTTTTGGGATCCACCTGATGAGTTATACTAAGTTAGTATTTTAATTTTCTCTAAACTTCAGTAAAGTTGTTTCTTTCCAACTATTTAAATTTAAACAGTTAACCAAAATGAGTGCAAATGATTTTGATGAACTAATTACGGAAGCATCAAGGAACATTGACGAGCTGATAATGCTGTCCAAATCTAAAAAATATGATACAGAAGAATTTGACGAGTTGTTACGGTTATTTGTTCCTAGTCGAAATCTTGGTGATAGGTCAATTCATCTTACAAAATTTCGTACAAAAGTTGCCGTAGATATATTGTCAAAAACCTCGGTTTCCGTAAATCTTGTATCAATTTATCGAGAATTGGGAAGAATGGCTATTCCTTTGAGTTATTTAACATTAAATCCACTCCCCGTTGATAAATGGGTCATCAAACTTATCGACTTTCAACAATTTTTGTCAAATTATATGACCGTCAGCATAAGCTTTACACGGAAACTGATCAAATCTGATATATATTTGACAGAAGTACGGCGTATATTAAATGCTACCAATACCATGAAAATGTCCGAGGTTTGGAACGCTTTGTTTTAAAATATAATTTAGTAGCTTGTACGATCATTAATGGATTTTATTATCTCCGGATTGAATACTGCATTAATGTATGAAAATGATTTCATTACACAAAGGCTTAGAGATTATGGTCTACGTAATATTTTAACGCGTTGTACTTGTCGTGATCCAAAAATTAAGGTTTGAGGAATTATTTCCAGTTAATATTTACTTTCCAGTTGGCCATAACCATTTTTTTAACGTTTACCTACACTGATATCAGTCAACTTCATTTAAAGGAAGAATCCGTTGAGTTATTCTTAAAGTGCTTTGATTATTTTATAGATGAAGGAATTGAAAGTGATGATTTGTTTAGTGCCTTTCAGTTTAATAAAGGTATGCTTTTTTTCAAACCAATAGTTTCTGCTGTTTGAATTATTTATTTTATATTTACCAAAAACATAAGACATAACGTAAAAGGGTGCTATGTTTGTGGAAAACGGGCTCATCTTTACATTAATTGGAGTGACAGAAAAAAGCAGGTAATTATTCCTGGAGACGTAAAGTTAAGCTAGTAAAATATACAGTTTGGATAGATATATAGTACTGGAGTATTCTTTATTTATCAAGCGAGTCTCCAACTTTTCTATAGTTTAATCGTAACTAGTGACCACCAGAAACTTTATTGAATGATCAATAATTTTTTCTACACGAACAGGCTTCAATATCACTTGTTTTCCTACTGAATATGTACAATAACATTCAGAAAGTTTTATTATTAAAATATTCAAGTTTCAAAGGTCCTTGGTATGAATAAATAGTTGGCTAATGACCTTTAATTTGGATTTAAAGCTTGTCATTGTTTCACAGGTTTGTTATTCTTAATCTTTAGTTAAACATTAGAATATCACAAAACCAAGATTAGTAGAAAGCTTGACATACTCGGCACCATATATTTATTAAAAGAAATGTCTATTCTCATCAATGCCTGCCAGTCAGTTGCAGTCAGATATAGCCCTCAAAATATTGTGAATATCTCGGCAATTTTAGTGAACAACACTAAACCATCATACTTCAAAGTGTCTAAAGTAAACTCATCTGAGACAGTGGCTCAATCTCTTATTGTTTATTTAAAGCCTAAATATCACTAAGAGCTGGGAACCAAGAGTCTGTGTCCCATTAATATTGTTAGTAGTTATTAGGTAACTGTAGAGCAGTTCAGGACCTGTTGGTTGTTTCGTGAGATTTTTTCATCATTATGGTCACCTAATATGAGGTTGGATTAAAAATCAGTCTTTGTCTGTGACAATTTTATCTAGGGCTAGTTTTTAACTGATCTTGACAAATCCAGGGAACTGTTTATTGTTACATAGCGCTATTTCCTTTTATATTTGCTTTGTTACTGTTCCTCAATATAAGTCATATCTGTCCAAATGTATTAATCTAATCTCTTTATTTACGTCAGTCAATACATTCCAGTCGTCGATTTCATTCGTTTCTCTTGTAATGTGTTCTCTATGCTTAATTTTCTACTACCATTGATATTATCGCTTTAACTCATCTGCCTTTAATTTTACTGATTTCACCTTATCGTGTGAATATAAAGTGTAAAATCTTAAGTATGACATTTATATCAGATCCTACTTTAGTAGTGATTGACGAATGATCGTAGTTAATGAGTAGATTTTCTGTTAGTTTATGTTCAGTATCCCTTCTTTTAAATTTTTCGAGGTGAATTTATGAAAATTTATTGATTCAAAAAGGGCTATCAAAATTCATCGAGTTTTGCTAATTTCGTGTTTTAGATTTTCAACGAACTTCTGTAAATGACTGTATGAGTTTAACTAGCAAGTCTTTAGTGCTTCACCTATTTGACATAGTTTTTAAGTGAAACAAACTTTTTATATTTGTTGTAAAAGTCTAAAATGACCGGTACACATCTTAAACTTGTGAGAAATAAAACAGCACAACTATGAGAAACGCTTAAATTGCACATTTAACTTAGTATAACCGTTTATCAAATACTATTCTAGATTATACTACATACCGGAAAATCCATATCAGTCTTTGTGTACACTTGTGAAACTGTATATTATAAACATTGGGATCCATTTTAGGCGTCGGAAAATTACAGTCTTATGAGTGAGTTCTTAAACGTGAACTAAAACTAAATAATAAGGTTGCTTAGCTAATTTTCTATTTTTAAAAATGTTCAATGTAAAGTAGAAATGTCTGTGTGTAGTATTTATGAACCTGTTTGTATTCCAGATAAACAAAATAATGTACTCTATCATTAGCAGAAAAATTCAACCTAAGGCCTCCCTGCGGCGCTTCTGGGTAGTAGGAGCAACCTTTCTAGCTAACTTAAGCGGTCGGCGGACATCGACTTAGTCTACCACCCTGCTGCAAACCGAATTGACTGGGTTCCCGTTTTTCAGGGCTATCTAAAAATCTCGTGAGGTGCTCAGTGTGTATGCTTATGTATATGAATTGCATGAGTTTCGGCTTGTGTGGTTTACATATGTGTGCAGAGGGTATGCTCGTGGGTTGGCATAAGGAACATAAACTGAAAAATGTCTGCCCTATATTTAATAAAATCAACAGCCTAATCCTTCAGGCCGGAGACATAATAAGGAAATATGGTAGCAAACACTAGGGAGAGGTGACTATCAACCTTCTCTGAAAGAGTGCTTATATTTATGTGTGTCATAAATTGCATGGATGAAAGCCTTTATACCAGTGATATTCATGTAATACATCAGTGACAGCCAGCTGTAGCAAATCCGTTCAAAGGTGGAGGTCACTATCTACCCTCCCACAGGGGCGAATATACTTATATATATATTATGAAATGAATGAGTAAATGTTTGTGTGTCACCAGTGTTCATGTAGCGTATATTTGCTTACAAGGTGTATGTCAAAGGATGCATGTGTGAAGACTTGAGTGTAACTGGTATGCATGTAGACTGTACTTGCCCATAGTGTGACGCCCGTGCGCCAATACCGAGGGGTAACGATTTCTCCACGAAATCGCATCCATGCTGTGGGTTTGTGAGTTTTTCGAAACAGAAATCATTTCCAGAAAAACCATTGGGCTTTACCAACCTTGGCACGGCTAGAACATCACACTCCATCATTGATAAGGTATAAAACTTAAACTAAACTGTTATATTCTGACAAAACAGTAATATTTTAAAAAGAACAGATTTCTCGCTAGTCCGAAAGCTGATATTGATGTACGGTATGCTACGCGCTAACCCCTCAACTGACTATTTGAGCAAGAACACAAAAGAGAGCGAGAAAGTGCAATGGGCTAGCGAATGAAATATATATATATATACCACTTTATCCTTAGGAAATTGGCCCCAATGAAATGCACTCGATCTTTCGGTCACTTCTGATCGCCATCGATTAACCTTTTGCCACTTCTGATTGGCTATCCATATAAGGTGTTAAAAAAATAACTACTCGTCAGACAAAAAGAATCAACCAGTGCTTGTAATGACCAAAAAACCATGTAAACAGCCCAAATATGATTTAGTCAATATCGTTAGAACCTACTGTTTTATATAGAAGAAAGTTAAAGTTCGTTCGTTTCAAGTTTGTACTGACATGTCTTTCTAGCATAACGTGAAAAATTTTCTAATTAAACTAGCTTAATACCAACATTTATCATTATGCTAGTTGGTTGACAGCAATATAAATATTTATTATTTTAGTTACACCTCTTTTGTGTCTCACTGAAATATTTGTCTCACAAATGGATGATAAATATTCTTCTTCTTAATATAAACTCCAGTGCTACGTATTTTGGCTTTGGACGGTGAGAATAGGAATGAGTTTGTCCAGCGTGATGTTTTGGGACGCCTGAAGTTGGTGCCGAAATCTTTATCTCATGATACAGATGAAATATCATTGACTATACGCATTTTATCCTCGAAACTTTCAAATGACGATGCTATCATGGAGATAAAGTTACTTGCAATGGAATTTTGCAACAATGTGACTGGAAAAGAGGATGAAGTTAGAACGTTCACTGAAAGCTATAGTGATGATGAATATTTACCTCAATATCCACCGTCTGAAAATGAAACTGATGACGTAGGTATGTAACAATTTCCATTCAGTACTGTTCTTAATTCTATTTTTACATAATATCAGACAGAACAGTGTTTTTTGTGATTGTCAACTTAGCGCTTAATGCAAAAGGGCTTAAGGCGAACTTTACACATGCTAAATGAAAGCTAGCGGAAATCATGGGAATTGAATATTTCATTGCACAATAAAATAGGTTACCCTATGGAAAAGTCTCATATTGTGAAGTTGGATGATGCGGGATCGAATCTGCCTGGCAGTACCAGTTCTCTTACAAATAAAATTATGTCAAATCACTCGAAGCCTAGATCAAGGCTTTCCTATCCACCATCTCCAAACAAATAATATTTCAACGCAGTACATGACATGTCGAGTTACTCAGACTATTAGCCACATTAAAGCTTGGCAGATAAAATTCGATTATTTTGAAAGCATGTTTCCTTTTTTCATTGATAGAGATAATTTGCTACTGTACATTCTTCTTACTTTTAATGCAGTTTATACAATCTTTGGTTTTCCACTTACATTGCAAAAATTTGCATTGAAGCTGAACCACAGAATTTCAGTCTGGCTTTTGTAAATAAGTCTTCGCTTAGTTTAAAGTTGTCGTTATTACATTATGATTCAGTTCTGGCTAAATCCCTGAAAATAGTTTTGGATATTTAGTATTTCGAATTTTATATTTTAGTTTTGAATTATAATTTCGTCTATGGTGTACACTATTTCTTTAGTGTTTACCTTTTTAAAGGTATAAACTTTTTATTAACTTATTAGTGTTTTGGTACGCTCTTTATTACACTAGTTTTAACGATATTGTAAGTACATCTATGTACAGCAACTTTCCACCTAATCATTGTTGTCTTTTGGTTTTTATTGTTAACCATCTTATTAAGATGTAACTCTAACCCCCTGCATTAGGTGGAGCTGGAAAGGAGAAGAGAGAATTGTCCATATACTATCTGCTGTCGCACTATTCCACTTTATCGACCAAACGTTTGATTAATTAAACACTTTTGATAGTGATAGTGAACTACATGACCTTAATGTTAGCTGTATTTATACTAGCACGTTTTACAGTATTTCAACTTGTTTAAACAACTAGTATGGGACTGAGCAGTACGTATCCGCAACCCCGGCAGGGATCGAACCTAACACGTCTAGTTCTTACAGCTAGCGCCTAACCTTTAAACTACTGAGTTGTTATTCACTGGTTTGTATTTCTAACTTTAGTCATCTCAAGATATTGCAAAGCTATCATCCATTGTCATCGGTCAGCAAGATTTTGATAATGGAATCTTATCTAAATCCCATTTTATAATTATATGTATTTAAATTATTATTATTATTATTATTATTATTATTATTATTATTATTATTATGGGTATTATTTCATAGAATGTAGTGAAGTAACGAAAGAAAAACCTCAATTGAATGGTCATATTATGATTAGCTACAGTCATGATGATCAGGAGATAGCGATTAAGATTAAAGAAAGGCTGGTGGAGGAAGATATCAAGGTATATCAATTTTATTTTGAATTTTCAAACATTTTCTAACTAAATTTCATACAATAATTCGTTTCCATCCTCCAAACACATACTTATAGCTAGTCAAACACTAGAATGAAATGATTTAAATAAAGAAAAGATATTATGTAATGAGATGAGATTCGATAAATCCTATCTTCAAATTCATAAGTTTTAGTCATGCAGAGATGTGTTACCTGATTGTAATTTAAATTGATGTAATACTTTTAAACGATTTGTGTCATAATATTCTACTTATTACATATATTAGTAGTTACCTTACAACTTAATCAGATAGTGTTATGGTCACAGGATTATCTTAATCGTGTTTTGAAAATTTGAAGGAAAATGCCAATTAAATTAGCTAAAAAGATAAATATATTTCAGTTATTTCCATACTTAATAGAAAATTTAAATTATGTATGTTATGTTTCCTTTGAAAACATGATTTAGGGATATCATTTGTAATATTAGTATATTTAATCTATTTTAACTACGAATGTTGGAGTCAAATTTTACACTGAATATTATTACTGAAAACAAGTAGAGCTATTCAAGAGGAAAAATCCTTTATACACAAACTGTCCAGTATCAAAGATATGACTTATCATATGTAGGTTTTAAATAACAGTTTGGAAAAGCATAATATCATCTTATTTATTAGTAATTCTGTGGTAAGAAAGGCTGTCAGCAAATTAATAAAACTTTTCATGTGTTGTTATTTTCTCAATCAGCTATGATTGTAAACGTCTTGAAAATGACTTGTTGGCGAATTCTATTTCCATAACTCATTCTTGAAAAATCAAGATGTCACTTATAAGTCACTTTAAAAAAGAATATTATTGACACTTTAAATCTCAGCTCTTTTCAATCTGCCCTAAGCTAACGCCAACTTCTTTAAAGTTTAGACGATCGGAGAGCTCATGATAACCTACGACTTGAAGCAGCTACATTATGCAGTATTTATCAGACAAATTCATGATTTATATTTTCAACTTGAGGTTTTTTCACATTTTGAAATTCATATGACTACTTCAGGACCAGTCTATATCGAAAGTTACTTTAACAATAGAGTATAATGTCTTGACATGTTGACCACTTAATTGAATAGTTCTATAATCTGTGATGTGGTCAGTGTTATTAAACCACTGTTTATTTTCATTATTCATCAATAATTTTTATTTTCCTTTTAATTTCAGTAGCTTTATTTTTCTGGTCATCAAACTATCGAACCTATCTTTACCGTATCAGGGTTATGTGTAAGCTTAAGCAGCTGCAATATTGTTTGAGATCCCACGTTGCATACATTCATCTCACTGTCAAATTATCCGACTTAAATTATTTACGCCTAGAGAGTGTATATGATGTTACCACTTACATACCATCTCTTTTAAAGAGCATTTCTCTCTAATTATAGTTTATGTAAAGTCCAAAAGAGTTAAGGCGTATAAAATAATGGTCAAGGGTTGATATTTTATCCAATTACTTATTATATGTTTATAAATTTATTGATCGCACTTTCATATTCTATTTATTATCTCACGGATTTCAGCGAGATGAAAGTCCCAACTAATTTTTGTCAAGGCTTATTTCAAATTTGTTTTCAATGTGTTTATAAACACATCGTCCCATTCCAATATTTAAATCATGATCATCAATGCGAAAAGAAGTTTCAAAGTCCTCAATCATTGAAATATGTAGCATTTTGCCTTTGAATTTACTATACTTCTAAATCGGACTGAACATTTTTGTTGTATAGTTCTATATATATATATATAACTATCAAAACCCCTTCTTTTTTCTCAGATTTGGATTGACAAAGAGCATATGGTTCAAGATGTTAAGATATTAGATGCTATGGCAAACGCTGTACAGAATGCTGCAATTGTATTAATACTTTTTTCTAAATCATACCAAGATAGTGAAAATACTAAAGCAGGTAAGTACAAAACCGATTAAATACTACATTAAAATAATATTATTGGAATGTTTATTGAAATTTCATCAAGAAATATCAATCGAACTCATTGGCAGAAACGAAATCATTTATATAAATCAACAAACTGACCATCCTACTATATATAAAAGACAAATCAGAAATTATCAAGAGATTATTGAAACTGTTCGGAATCGGTGTTTCACATAAACCAGCATAATCACTTCAACTAAACCTATGCAAATCAAAGGACAAAATGACAAAAGAAGAAAAACCTAACATCATCTGTAAAATAAACTGTTCCAGTTTCAGAAAACACTGCATTGTACAAAGTGAATTCCTCCTTCATCTTTGCTTGCATTACAATCAATTATCGGTCAAATTCCATGACATCCTTGATTGTATTGATGTATGTGGACACTTATTCGACTGGAAATATTTTGAAATCCTGGATAGAGGAAGTACTAATACCATCAGAGCATTTTTAGAAGCTTGACACTCAGATCAATCAGCAATCAACAAACACAAACAATCTACCAATCAATCAGAAATTTTATGGACAAATATGTGACCAGAAGTCAGATCAAAGGGAGATACAATCCATGTATAGAAGCAGATAATGACAAGTTAAAAATCAACAGTAACCAATCTAGATCGAGGTCAATAGGGCAAGCTGTGGAGTTTCAATACTTGACTTCTACCTGAAGTTTGTGCTGATGATGTTGTTCGGGAGAACAATGAAAAATCCACGATCAATCTATCCAGCTCAGACAATAGAACTTCACCGAAAATTTGTAAACTGTAGTAAAATGATGGCTTAGTTGGTTGAAATTAAAATTTTCAACTTTAGGCCATATATTTAAAACCCTCCATATCTATTTCAGTTTTAGCAACTTGGTTGTATCAGTAGTAGTAGTTTTTATACAAACAGTATGGTTTAAAGCTGAATATATAAAATTTTACTCGGTGATGTATAATTTGCATTATTATGTTGGTAAAAATGGAAGTAAATGACTTTTTGCACTTTTTACTTTATTTTTGACATTGCCTAACTGTAAATATAGTATTGAATTAATTTACACTATACGCTTCTACGCTTAAAAGTATAGGTTGTTGATCAAGTCAACTTATAAATCAACGACCTGTGAGTTTAAGCTATATGGAATGTGAGGCAGCTTCTCATTAATTACGTTAAAAGATGGTTTGCATGACATCCCAAGTTGGTTGAAGTTAATCGTGTAAGCCATTGGATGCCTATTCAGTGGTTTAGAGGTTTATTCCTCTCCACCAGGCCTGAATATGTAGGGTTCGATCTCCGGCGGGGGTGCATACTAATGAAGAGCCTCATATTAAGACGAAACAGCTGTCCAATGTTTCCTTTCTAAGGGCTATCTGAATAAGATCGGTTTTTTGATGCTAACCGGTTATGTTTGATGTTCGGACACCAATTTACATATTTTTATGGTAATAAACAGTTTTACCGATTAAAAATTTTCATTTAAGTTCTTTTGTCATGTATACATTGCACTATATGTATGAATTATTTAGTCGTCTATCACTTTTACATCAATATTTGACATGGTAAAAAAACTGGAGTTTGCCTGAACTCTGTCATAATACTTATACCTTTGTGATAAATTGCAATCGTACGTACTTGTTACTATTTGTAAACATTTGTCACCATTGTTTAATTTCTAATGTAATGGAACATAGTTTGTAAGGTTTAGAACTTATAAAGGATCATTTTTCTAGCAAATGACTAAGGCATACTACATAAGTGGGGGTGTACATTTATCGTCAGTTCATTATGTTTTAAATTTTTGGCCTGAAAACAATAAAACTAGTTACACGCCAATTTTAACTAACGAACGGTTTTGTAGCTCATGATGAAAGCATTTTATGAATATATATATGTCATACCACATCAGCACAAGCAGATGAAATTAATATGATGAATAGCAAAGGAACCGAAATAGTTGCAATAACCACATTAATCATTAGAAATACGCCTGAAGAAGACAATGGAAAGCTATATATGCGGGAATACTGTGAGTCATGGTCTAGAGGAATGTTTCGACGCTTTTGTGACTGGTTTTGATCCATGTTGCCTAAATTATTCAACCACTGATCACCGTTGTCGCGCGGATCCCAACTAGATATTATACATTAACCACTACGGTTCAGACCAACAGCCAATGACTGCACGGATTAATGTCACATCTACCGATTCCTACGCTATCCGACATTCTACTTCGTGGCAGGAAGTGATTGAGGGCATGTCTGAGCAATCTCAGATTCACGATTATATCAACTGATTTACCAACTTCTTTCTCTTTTTTATTTTATTCTACACTTCACTCTATAGAAGCGGAATATACTCGAAAACTAAAAAAACCGCCTATCTTTTTGCGTGTTGAGCGAGGATTTGTTCCAGACTCTTGGTTGGGTTTCATGATTGGTGAAAGTCGTTATATTGATTTCTCAGGGAAATATCCTTTTGAAGAAAAATTTGAAGAACTATGCACTACGATTGTAGGTTTAAATATTTTAAAGAATAAATCTGTAAAACTTTTAACTGATTACATTTTTAGCCGTTGCATGTCTTCAGTTTTACTGATCGTGCATTTCTTACGCTACACTTTCTCTCTTGCATTTCAACTTTTAACTTAGTCGATTTAAGATTCTATTTTCGTATTAGCAAGAAACTTTGAGAACTCAGTCAGAAAGTGTGTAGGTATGCTTGATCTATTTGAAAAATAAAATAACTTATTTCATAGTCGAAAACTCTTGTTTTTAATAAATTTAGTGTATGCAGTTTTTCTGAAGAAATCGAAACGTGATATTTTACTTGACCTCATACAGTCTTTGTGGTCAACCTGCACACTATTGACGCTTCGATCATCCGACAGAGCTGGTCAACTGTTTCTCGTATGTGTAGCGTCTGAATGAAATCTATTATACACTGTTTGTCTGGACGGGTTTGTCAGAAATTGAACCTACAAAATAAAGGCTGATTAATTTTTCCAGACTTTTCCTACTCTTCCATAAACTGAACTTCGGAGAAAATCCTAACTTTTACATAGAAACAAATATTTTGAGGTAATTTTCGTAAAAGATAAATGTAACGGGGGAACAGATAAACCTACTTACGTATAAAAGAAATGAAGCTGACGCTTTTGTTATTTTTATTCAAGGGAATAGATAAATAATATTTGGGTGAAAAGTTGACACTTGATTATATCAGTTAATAGGTTTTGCCACAGTGTCTATCACTAAATAGTTATTAAAATGTCATTATTAAAAAGTACTGTTTACATCAAGATTTATGTTTTCAAACAAGTTTGCACCTATGGTGTGTATATTACTACTGAGTAAACTAATGTAAAGTCTTTATTGTGTCACTTTGATGCTTTATTAACTCATTCAAGTATCTATATAGTTATTTTAATCGAAAATGTCACTTCCCTATTCAGAATAAGTTTAAATCTGTAATCAAATGTGGAGTTAGTTTGTAATATATCATTGGACATCATGATGGATTCAGTCAGCCTAATCTATAAATATTTATATTTTGTTTTTCTTTCTGACTGCAGAATAATATTAGTCGAGGATCGATCACTGTGAAACGTGAGAAACCAGTGTATGTTGTTTGTATACTTATTAGTTGTTAATAATTGACTTGTTCATCATTAAATTAATCTCTTTTTGAAGTTTTGTTATGATCTAATATATCTGAGTAAAGATTTGAATGTGAAATTCTTATACAAGGTTGAATATGAGAGGTTGGTTCAGTTTGTTGTCTACTTAGCTAGGTAACCTTGCAGTTATATCACGCTCAGTTAAACGAACTAATAAAACCAGGACAAGATTCAATTTTTTTAACTAATGTTAAAATGTTTTGCATAGGAAGCTACCATGATTTTCATAAATCGTTCTAAAACATAAACAAAAATCTAAATCTCTCAGGACGTTTGCCTCATGTATAAACATCTAAATAGAGATCGAATCACGACAATATTATTCACTAAGTAAAACGTCTAAAGTATTTTTTTTTGAATATGAAACATCTGGATATGACAGATAATAAGTGTGTTGTTGTGTGCATACGTTTGATTGGTTCTACAATGTACATTATAAGTGTTACGCTATAGTAGGATCTCGTTAGATTGTTTTATTATGAAATTGTGTTTCAGATAAAAAATATATAACTTATGTGGTTCACTATTTCTAACTTACTTCTAATGGAACAAAGTATTGTAAATGTTTGACCTGTTTGTGTATTTACAATTTCTCATATTTTATCAGGGAAAATAAACAAAATACGTGCGTTTCAATGTAGTATGATGATATTGGTGATCGGAATGGAGAATTCACCTCCTATCAACCGATTCGATCTAATTTCTAACAAAATCCTATTTATCTCCATACATATATATGTGATACGTTTTCTGTTCACTAACAATGATGCTTGATGAATAATCATAACAGAATTTGACTATTCTTATTAGTGTATTGAGTTATTTTTTTTCATTACCTTGAAAAATTGCAACATGTATTATTATTATTATTATTTAACAAACAATTTTTGAGGATATCTTTTTCTATACTACTTTTTTGATAACGTTTGTTTGACGTTTATCATCACCACTTTTTATTTATTTATCAGAAATACTACATCTTCTTAATACGCTTGTTATTTTGTTGTATTACATCGCTGTAGTATTTAAAGTAGTGGCGATTGCCACTGGAAATCATTTTCTGTATGTGAGTACTGAAGTTTATGACTTTAATCATTTCATATCTATATTTCATTGAATCGGATTAAAGTAGGAGAATTCTTAAATTTCTGTGATTTATCGTTTTCAGTGAATGTAAAAGTATTTGTTAGTTTTTATCTTGCTCACTGTCTGCACACGATGAAGGATGACGTTTAGCAAATTGAAAGGATCAAAAGCGAGCGTCAGACGCCTAGACAGAGATGGTAGATATGGAGCAACCGCCTTGACAAGTTGTAAAACCTTGATTCCAAACCAATACTGAACACGGACTCCAGGTTACTAAGTAAACAGATAGATTACGAACCTACTTTGTGTCTTGGGCACTGTAATATGACATCTTTTGATACTACTAGTGAATTACACCAAAAGTCCTTGGTTCGAGTTCCGTGCGCAGGATTGTGAATGCGCCCTGATGAGGAGTTCCATATTAAGACGAAACACCCGTCCAGTGCTCCTAGGTTTTCAATGGTGGTCTAACATTCATCGATTTATGGTCTCAATCAAAAAATCAACAATCTCCGCAATCCCATATTGATAATAAGTTTAAGTTGACAGTATCAGTAAAACTAGTTAGTCGATTTCGTAAACCACATCTTATTACACAGACAAAATAATTTTCTTCTAAATAAATTTAGTTTTTATAAAACTAGGATTTCAGACTCAAATTTTTATTAGTGGTCATATTGTGTGAAGCAGTTATAGTAACAGTATTCTACTAGATAACGGTCATGTTTATGGATAAAGTTTATGACAAATTTATAGCTTGTTATAAACCCTTGCAGTATGGATATTGTGTAATATGTGGTAAATAATGTCCATAACTTTTTTCGATCGCTTCCTTTTTAAATTTCCTTTCCTTATTATTCAAACAATTTTTATGTTTTAAGTATTGTATTCTTCATTTAAAACAGTTTACCAAAATCTATATTACCAGTTCAAGGAATGATTATTTATTATAAAGGTAATCAGAAGTGTTTCTGACGTACATACTGAATAATACTAAAACTGAAATACTTTCAATATATATATATATATATATATATATATATATATATATACCAAATTAAAACATTTCTTGAATTCACGTTCTAACTCAAAACACAATCTAATTAATACTGTAGGCAAACGTTTTTTTCTCTTTAATTTTCAGTAGCATGATTAGTTGTGTTGTTGGAATGTAACTTGTAGGTCAAATTTATGGTAGTAAAAACAAGAGTTTATTTTTCAAATTACTTATATTTAGTAGACTAGTTTGTTTAAGCAATTTCAGTATTATGGTATGCTAGTATAACATTAATTAGGTTGATTATAGAAAAAAAAACAAGTAATTATTGATAAAAAACAATAATCACAGATTGAAAGTAATCTTATCATGATCGATAAATGTATGAAGTTCTCTTCAATTAATTAAGAGTGAGGATAATTGAACTTTATCGTTTATGATTTAAGGAACTCCAGTAATTAGTTGAGAAATTATTAAGAAACATGAATTGCAGAAAACTATCCAGTTATATATTTTAATTAATGACGCATCGATAATGTCACTGAGTAATAGCTTCTAAATAAACTAAATCCACTAAATAGTGATAATCACAATAGATTGGACGTTGAGCCACATGATAATATTCATATTTCTCTTTCTTAACTTTAACAATGTACATTAATAAAAGTGCATGATGCAGTAAGGATGATCAGAGCTAATGTAAAATATAATTTATTCACATAAAATGGTATCCGATCATTATCATAATTCATATAGTTTCCTAAATGGAGTCACTGTATATATCCATAAATATTATTAGTTACATTATCACATGCAAATGGTTGCAAAAAATAAGCTTCAGAGGGTAAGGTTAGTGAAAATGATGAACACAATAAATTGCAGTCACAACTCTTGTCAAAAGTAACTGTGCTGTGGAAGCATATCGTGAATAGTAAAATAGTGTGAAATTGAATTACAAGACAAATAAGTTATTTCTATAGTTGCTAGTTTCAAAGTTGTGCTAAAAATAACAACCAACCTATTCAAATAAATAAATCACAAGGCAAAAGAAATATAAATGTATTCAGCTTGAATGATTATTACTGTCATCTTTTTTTGTAAGTTGAGGTGGGAATTCTTAATATTATTATTTTTGAAGTACTTTCCTAACTGCATGAATCTATTTCCGAACTGTTATATTTCTCCAATGATCTTTCAAGAGGTTGTTGATTATAAGACAGAATAAGTCATTTCGAAGTTAATAATTTAACATTCTATGATGAAAACAATTAAATATAGTTGACCATAATCTCTGCTCTCTAAATAATCTCTAACGCAATTACTGAAGTTCCTCAAATCGTAAACAACACGGCCCAATTTTCTTCACCCTTAAATAATTAAAGAGAACTTCATACATTCATCGATCATGATAAGATTACTTTCAATCTGTGATTTTTTTTATCAATAATTACTTCTTTTGTGTAAAAAACCTAATTAATATTGTATCAACATAATTTAGTGTCGAAGGTGCTTAAGTTGATCAGTATTTACCAAACACGGTTGTTTTGATTATTAATATATTGTTATAAATGTTATTATAAACTTGGCCTGGAAGTCACATTCCAACAATGGAAATTACCATGATAATAAAAAGTGAGGGTAGATATGCTTTCTACTATTCAAGGTAGTTAGTCCTTTTGATAAATTTAGATGATGTGGTATTCAAATTCTTCTACAATGTCAATTAATTTCTTTCACCATGACCTTTATGAATTCAAGTGTAATTCAGCAGAATATTTACGTTTAGCAATACTACTACTAGAAAAGATTGTGGTACTTTAAATTACGAGCTTCAGAAACTTAATTTATCTGTAATGTATAATTTTTGCCATCGGGACTTTTGTCATGCGATGGATATCAAAAAGTAACTAACTTATGGTGCAACGGAATGTCAACTTCCCTTCAATGAATGAAAGTAAAAATCCGGTCATGTGAAGTCACAAAGTCGATAAAGGGGTTAGCGATATATATAAACTTTTATTCTCAGAATTTTTTAATTTCAGAATTTATGTCTATTTATCCACGAACTTTGTGACAATCTTGGGCAAATCGATTTTTTTCGTTTCTTTCGGGCTTGTTTTGGTATGATTCTCAGTTTATACTAATGTTCAATAGGCAATAGTCTAGTCACTCAACTGCACTAGTTCTAATCAGTTTGGCAGTAGTTTGTGGGTTTGTATGTATTATGATCTGAGTAAGTGCGTTTGTCTCAAGGCAGTAAAGGTTCTTGAACCTACAGTTATCGAGTTACTAGACAGGTTGACTGCTTTGTGAAAAATAATAAAGCAAAGGTATGAACACAGAAAAGCTAGGAGACGACGATTGTCCGAAGAAGATAACAACTAAATCAAGTAGTTGCTAATGCGAACGGTGTGAGCCGACAGAATTATGAAAACGAAAGGTAAACGGAGATTATTAAAAACAAGATTTGGACAAACTGATAGTACGTGATAATGATAATACTAGTTACGTTACCAGGGACGCATTAAACGGAGCTAGTTCAAGGGGAAATATGGTAGTTCGTCGGATTCACTGAAGGGTATGTGGCCACTTTCACTGGTATAGCATTCCTTATGTGAGTAACTTTTAGCCAGGAAAAATGGAATGTTACTTGAATTTTCGCTCTCTAATGTGTTGTTGTTTAGGTGTTTCCTCTAGGATCACGATAATGAGTTTCTGATAGGATATTTTGTTGAATTGTCTCTACATACGCGGCGTATTGTGTGGTAGTGGAGAAAAATTGTAACTCAGGTGGATGGTTTTGATGGAGTTTTGTTCTCTGAGCTGGATGGTTTGGTCGTGGAGCTTTCATCGTACTTCTGAACGACATCATCAGCATGAACTTCATGTAGAAGCGAAGTGTTCGAATTTCTCCGCATGTGGTTCATAGCTTGTCTTGTACGTCTCGACGTTGATTGGTTCTTGTTGACCTTAAACCTGTTATTGTTTACTTCTTTGTTTAGGTTGTATCTCCTATTGGTTTGACTTTTATTCCTATGTTTGTGCATAATTTTCCTGATTGGTTGATAAATTGGATCGATTTCAATGTGCTTGTTTATTGCTGATTGACCTAAGCGTCAAGATTCTAAAAATTATCTGGTGTTTTTGAAAATGCGTCTATCCAAAATCGCCACATTTTTCCAATCGAACGTGTGTCCGCAGTTGTCCACGTGCATTGGTATACGTAAGGAAATGTCATAGCGTTTGACTGCGAATTCATTAGATAGTGGTTGGAGGTAGTCGACAGGAAACCCTGGCACTCGTCAGCAAGGTGTACCTGTAATCTTTGAAGGAACTGGTGCTCCCTGGCGAGTTCGATCCCGTGTCACCAGCTTCAAAGTCAGAGACGTTACCACTGAGATATCCAGGCCGCGACCAACCTCCTGTAGGACTGAGATGTAATCACAATTGACTGATCACTGGGTGACCAATGTCATGCGTATCTAGTTCTTATTATTAGTGCAGATCGAATGCTATCGATCATGTTGCAATGTGGCCACCAGTCTAGGAGACTACCTC